AAGAGTATGCCCTCTCTCATTTTTTCTTCTCATCCGAGAACAGAACAGAGAAAGAAAAACTTAATTAATCGGGGGCAACATACACAGATAGATAGGTTTGAAAGTTTGCCGGACACGTTCGCCAAGGGTCAAGTAAGGCGAGAATGACGAGAAGAAAGAGAGAAGAGCAAATAGATGAACGACCCTGATGATTTATCGCCTATTGATTTCGGGTCAGGCATTAAAATAATTTTTTTTTGTTAATATTCTTCTAAATATTAAGAAGAACGAAAAGAAAGGAAGAAATAACCTCGAATGACATCAAATAATGATGAACAATGACAATCGATTGTTGAAAGTAATTCTGTTTTAACTAGTTCTCTTTTTTCATATCTTCAACACTCTAATGAGAAAGAAAAATGTCATGTAGAGAATGTCACTACAAATAGAAAGGTTATGTGAAATGTAAACAATCTATAAATGCAAATATATTGATCTCAAGTATATATTTATTTTTATATTGGTACAACCAATAGTGACAGCTACTTGATAAATGATATTGTTATAGTTTTTCTCTTTTCATACAAATTAAAATCAATTTGAGAAAAATAATTCAATATTTACAAAATTTGATTAAGGATTATATAAATGATGTAATAAAAGATTTTTTCAAATAAAACGTTTATCCCTACCCAGTTGGTATTTGCATTTGTTGTCGATCAGGTAATTGCATAAGTGGAAAATGTTGATGTGAATGCATACCGTCAACAAATGGTGAAAACATGAGAATTAGTTATATAGAAATCAAAATAAAAGAAGAGAAAAACAGGTTTTTTAATAATCTAGATAATTAAAAAAGAAAAATTTTTCAAAAGAAAAAAAAATTTTATTTGTTTCTTTACTTATTGATAACAACAAATCAAAACTAAAATTGTCTTTTCTTTCTTTAAACATTCAGTTCATCTATTTTCGTTCTAAATCATTCTATTGCTTGTTTATGCGAACCAATCAAATGAAAATTACAATGCATAACTATGATAATAAACAAAAATAAAATCATATTTTTTTTTGATTTATTCTTTTAGAATAACTTAAGTCTTTATTAAAATAAATTTTTTCTATTAAAATTTGCAAGAAATAATCATATTCGAAAAAATCTAAACAATTGTTGTTATTTTCTTTTTGTCAACATATTTACGCAATAAACTTTTAACGTACAGAATATTCTTACTCTTGGTTAGTATTGAATAGTACACCATGAGTTCAAAACATGATGGTAAGAATAGTTTTTTTCTTTTTTTATTAGACTTACGAAATATCTATTGAAATTCTTATTGTAGCCGTCGAAGCTCAATCTAAAGCTCTACGTGATGATCGAAGACGAGAAGAAGATGAAGCTCGTGGTACGAAATTTGGTCAAGAAATTCTTGATACAGAAGTCTATGAAGAAAATGCTCGAAGTGGTTATTTAAATTATTTACCTGGAACGAATGATGATGATGTATGTTATTATATTTCATACTAAATAAGTATTTATTTCTAATTATTTTTTTTATATTAGGATGAAGATGAAGAGTATCAATCATCATTATCAAATATGAAATTAAAACAATATGGACCAACAGCAGATATTCGTCAAAATATTCCAAATATTGATCAAGTAAGAGAACAAACATTTAAATATTTTATTAAAATAATTTTTTTTTAAATTTTTGTAATAGAATTTTGATCCATTAGCTGAACATCGTCGACCAACAATTGCCGATCGAGAAAATGAATATCAAAAGAAACGACGTATGGTACCAGGAAGAATTTCACCAGAACGATTGGATTATTTTGCTGATGGTAAATATTGAAAAAAATTCTTATCCTTTTTTCTGTTTGTTTTTAGTATAAGATGATTATCTAAATTCTAAGAGGCTATTCTGATATCGGGTTCCTTTTTGTAGGCGTTTGGCCATATGGATATCCATCATCTACATATGCATTATTTTCTAATAAGAAAGAAAAGGTGTGAATGAATAGTAAACACCTATTTAATTAATTAGAATCTTAGCTTATTTTTTAGACATTAAACGATTATCAACGTACTGTTCAATCGCAACGTTGACAATCAACTTGCTTGAAATGAGCTCGAGCATGGTACAGATACTACTACTATAATAATAAATGAATATAAATATATTTTTTTAAAAAAGATTTTCCTTTCTGTAAAGTATTTCGTAATATTTATCAAAATGTCGAAATGAGGTAGTATTTATATATAACGGTGGGTGTTTTTATTCTTTTTTTTTTTATAAATATCGATTAAAAATTATTTATTTCTAAACATTTTTTTATTGATTATGTTTAATTTATTTTATTTAGGCGGAAAAACACCTGATCCACAATCAAAAGCACGTAGTTATGCAGAAATTATGGGTGAAGTTGTTGTACGAAATGCTAAGGTAATATTAATTTTTGAATAAATATAAAATTTATATTTAATATTTTTTTAACAGGCCGATACACGAAATCAAATTGCAGAAAAACTCAAAGCAGCTGAAGCTCAAGGTGGTGCAGGAGCTAATGGAAGTGCAAGTTCATTAGGTGAAAAACGTCGTCGACGATGGGATCAAACAGCACCTACTGATGATAATGATCCAAAAGCAAAGAAAACAGCATACGATGAGGTAAAATAATTATTTTCGAATTCTGTAATAAATTCTTATTTCTTTCTTTTTTTTTATTATATTTAAGGCTGTTACACCAGCTCATCGAATATGGGATGCTACACCAGCACCTGGTCAATCATCATTTGATGAAACACCTCATCATTCAACGACACCATCAAATAAACGTAATCGATGGGATGAAGTAAGTTAATTTATATTTTTATATATAACTAATTATTGTAATTTTTTTTTCTCTATTATTATTTAGACTCCACGCACTGAACGAGGTAAATTGATTTAAAAAATATAAATATTTTTATTTCTTATTTTATTTTTTTATTAGAAACGGCAAATTCTGGTTGGGCTGAAACACCGAAAACTGAACGTGGTGGTATGGATGATGCTGATTATATTATACGATCAACTCCGACACCTTCTACTGATAAACGTCGCTCACGTTGGGATGAAACACCTGCAAATCAAACAACAACAAATGGTGGTAGTTTTACACCAACAACAAAAGAAATTGGTGTTGCATCAACTCCTCGTACATCTAGTGGTTTTACACCGGGTATGACACCAATTATTGCAACACCCGTAGGTGCACGTGCTGCTAATATGGCAACACCAACACCAAATCAAATTCCAATGACACCTGAACAAATGCAAGCATATCGTTGGGAACGTGAAATTGATGAACGTAATCGTCCATTATCTGATGAAGAACTTGATGCAATGTTTCCACCAGGTTATAAAGTTTTACCACCACCTGCATCTTATATACCAATTCGAACACCAGCACGTAAATTAACAGCCACACCAACACCACAAACAACAATGTCTGGTTTTCACATTCAAGAATCTGCACATGGACAAAGTGCTCAATCAAATCAATTACAAGAATATCAACCATCAGGAAATTTACCTTTATTAAAACCCGATGATTTACAATATTTTGATAAATTATTACAAGAAGTTGATGAAGAAGCATTAACACCTGAAGAACAAAAAGAACGAAAAATTATGAAATTATTACTTAAAATTAAAAATGGTACACCACCAATGCGTAAAGCAGCATTACGACAAATAACTGATAAAGCACGCGAATTTGGTGCTGGCCCATTATTTAATCAAATTTTACCATTATTAATGTCACCAACATTAGAAGATCAAGAACGTCATTTACTTGTTAAAGTTATTGATCGTATTTTATATAAACTTGATGATCTTGTTCGTCCATATGTACACAAAATTTGTGTTGTTATTGAACCACTTTTAATCGATGAAGATTATTATGCACGTGTTGAAGGACGTGAAATTATATCAAATTTAGCTAAAGCTGCTGGTTTAGCAACAATGATATCAACAATGAGACCTGATATCGATAATTTAGATGAATATGTACGTAATACAACTGCTCGTGCATTTGCTGTTGTTGCATCAGCACTTGGTATACCAGCATTATTACCATTTTTAAAAGCTGTTTGTAAAAGTAAAAAATCTTGGCAAGCACGACATACAGGCATAAAAATTATTCAACAAATTGCTATTTTACTTGGTTGTGCTATTTTACCACATTTAAAATCATTAGTTGAAATTATTGAACATGGTCTTGTTGATGAACAACAAAAAGTACGAACAATTACTGCATTAGGTATTGCAGCATTAGCTGAAGCAGCAGCACCATACGGTATTGAATCATTTGATACAGTACTTAAACCATTATGGAATGGTATTAAACAACATCGTGGAAAAGGTCTTGCTGCATTTCTTAAAGCCATTGGTTATTTAATTCCATTAATGGATGCTGAATATGCTGGTTATTATACCCGTGAAGTAATGGTTATATTAATACGTGAATTTCAATCACCTGATGAAGAAATGAAAAAAATTGTTCTTAAAGTTGTTAAACAATGTACAGCAACTGATGGTGTTGAAGCTAAATATATTAAAGAAGAAGTTTTACCAGCATTTTTTCGATATTTTTGGAATCAACGTATGGCATTAGATCGTCGTAATTATCGACAATTAGTTGATACAACTGTTGAAATGGCAAATAAAGTTGGTTCATCAGAAATCATTAATCGTATTGTTGATGATTTAAAAGATGAATCAGAACAATATCGTAAAATGGTTATTGAAACAATTGAAAAAATAATGACAAATTTAGGTTCAGCTGATATTGATTCACGTTTAGAAGAACAATTAATTGATGGTATACTCTATGCATTTCAAGAACAAACAACAGAAGATACAGTTATGTTAAATGGTTTTGGTGCTGTTGTTAATTCATTAGGAAAACGTTGTAAAGCATATTTACCACAAATCTGTGGAACAATTTTATGGCGTTTAAATAATAAAGCAGCTAAAGTCCGACAACAAGCTGCTGATCTTATACAAAAAATAGCTAATGTTATGAAATTATGTCAAGAAGAAAAATTAATGGGACAATTAGGACTTGTTTTATATGAATATCTTGGTGAAGAATATCCTGAAGTTTTAGGAAGTATTCTTGGAGCATTAAAAGGAATTGTTAATGTTATTGGTATGACAAATATGACACCACCAATTAAAGATTTATTACCAAGATTAACACCTATTTTAAAGAACAGACATGAAAAAGTACAAGAAAATTGTATTGATCTTGTTGGTCGTATTGCTGAATTAGGTGCTGAACATGTTCCAGCACGTGAATGGATGCGTATTTGTTTTGAATTACTTGAATTACTTAAAGCACATAAAAAATCAATTCGTCGTGCTGCTATAAATACATTTGGTTATATAGCTAAAGCTATAGGTCCACATGATGTACTTGCAACATTATTAAATAATCTTAAAGTTCAAGAACGTCAATTACGTGTTTGTACAACTGTTGCTATTGCTATTGTATCTGAAACATGTTCACCATTTACTGTTTTACCAGGTAAATTTGTTTTTCTAATGCCTAATTTTTATTTTATAAATTATTTTTATTTTTTTAATAGGTTTAATGAACGAATATCGTGTACCAGAATTAAATGTTCAAAATGGTGTATTAAAAGCATTAGCATTTATGTTTGAATATATTGGTGAAATGTCAAAAGATTATATATATGCTGTAACACCATTACTTGAAGATGCAATGATGGATAGAGATTTAGTTCATCGTCAAACAGCAATGACAGCCATTGGACATATGTCATTAGGTGTATTTGGTTTTGGATGTGAAGATGCATTATGTCATTTATTAAATCATGTTTGGCCAAATATATTCGAAACAAGTCCTCATGTTATTCAAGCATTCATTTCAGCTATTGAAGGTTTACGTGTTGGCCTTGGTCCATGTAGAATACTTTATTATGCATTACAAGTAAATAAATAATTTTTTATTATAATTCGTTTTAATTTTGTTTTTTTAATTTTAGGGTCTTTTTCATCCAGCTCGACGTGTACGTGATGTTTATTGGAAAGTTTATAATACATTATATATTGGTGCACAAGATTCATTAATAATTTCTTATCCACGTATTGTTGATGATAGTACTCGTCCAACAATTGATGAACATGAATCATTGAAGAAACGTATTGAAAAACCACGTAATGATTATCTTCGATATGAACTTGATTATATTCTATAAAAAGAAAACACTAAAATAATAAGAAGACAAATACATTTTGACAGTAGTTTTATTGTCTATGTTCGTATCATTGTTGTTCTCATTTCATTTTTCTAAATGTATATGTACGTCTGTATTACGTGCGATATACTAATATGAGACTAAATTAAAAAAAGAAAAAAACTCATCTTTCAACAATATTTCTTTTTCTTTGTCTTCTTTAATGTATGTACGTTTGTTTGTTTTTTTTCTTTTTTCTTTTTGTGCTGGTCCTTTTTTTTTTCTTTTGTGTTCGTAATAAAAAACATATTCAACTATTGAGAAAAAAAATCGACCTGAACTATAGTGTTGATTTTAATTGAAACAAAAAAAAAGTGGAATTTCTATTTAAAAAAAAGTTTTTTATTTACTACAAACAACTAAAAAAAATGTGCATAGTCATTCTATCTTCGGCGATTATTTATGCAAACATATTTGCCAACAACAAGGTTATCTCGCTTGAAATAGATAGGATGAAAGTAAAATATTTTCTTGCGATGTATATGATTAATATTAACATGTAACTTGTACTCAATATATGAGTCATATAAAAATAAAATTCTAAATTATAAGTTAGAATGTAACTGAAGTTAAATATATATGTCATGCATAGATAAAGTTAGAAAATGATTGTTGAATATGAAATTTTATTAAATTAGTTAATTTGATATATGTTGTCGTATAAAAAGATAATCTGTATGTTAAAATGAAATTAATTAATCTTCTTTTTTGTCATTAATTATTTACAAAATAGAAAAAAAACGATATTCTTTGTAATATTGCAACTTTCGTAAGATCTTCTATCATTTTTTTTTCTTTTTCATCTGACGAACATTATTTAGATAATAAAGACAAAAAAAAACTTGAAGTAGCTTATTCAACTGAGGGGGTAAAAAAAAAGAAGTAAAAAAAAAGAGAATTCTATAGATAACAGTATCTTCTTCTATTTTATCGTTTATCTTAAGTTAGCGCAAATAAAAGCTGAAGACTATATTTATTTTGTTTTTATTATTTACGTTCGCATTACTGGTGTCTTTGAATGCTATTACTCTCATAATTTTCATATTAAGAGTATAGCATCGACGTTTTTTTTCTAAAATGACGTTTAGATCAATAATTATCACTTTGTATATATTACAATATATCTTTTTCACTAATGGACAAAATGTTCAAACAATGCCACCACAAGACACATGTGTACCATCAAGTCTTACTCTTCGTTGTCCAGCTGGTTCTGTAATTGTTGTTACAAGCGCTGAATATGGTGTTGCACAAGTCGATGGTTCATGTAGCTATACACCAGGTGATTGTATTGCTGATGCAATGAGTATAGTCGTATGTGTAAGTGATTCTGTTACATGTAGTATATATGCAACAAAAAAAAAACTACCAGAATGTAATGATCAATTTGGTAGTTATGTTCACATTGAATATGATTGTGTACCAATGTCAATGAATGATCCAGCACAAGAATATAATGTATGTCAACAAAATAGTACAGATATAACAAGTGATCGTGGAATATTAAAAAGTCCTGGTTATCCATCACAATTTCAACTTACACCATCTGAATGTTTTCGTGCTATACATGTACCAGACAATAAAGTAGTTCGTTTATGGTTATCTGATTTATATGTTAGTTCAGCAGGTATCAATTGTCCCAACGATCATGTATACGTTGTTGATAATGTTCAAACATTTCGACACTGTGGTCTTAAACGATATGCTTATCCATATTTATGTTCATCGACTATTATTATTCAATACAAGACTACAACGCAAAGTTCATTTTACCGTGGACTGAGAATGTATTTTGAAATAGTTGATCGATCACCAAATGACAACTGTCCAACTGGATCAGTAACACCTGTGCCAGCAACAACACCAAGTACAACAACTATCGAAACAGATGTAACAACAGCTATACCCATTTATGTTGTACTTGGTATTGCATCTCCAATTCGAAGTTTTCAAATTTGCAAAGGTAAATTATTTATTTAAACAAATATAGGATAAAATAAAATAATTACAAATTCTTTTTCTTAGGTGAATCACATACACTTCAATGTCCAAATAATTATGTTGTAGCTGTAAGAACAAATATATATGGTGTTACTCCAACGGATCAATGTGAAGATCATGATGCAAGTAAACATTGTGTTCTTGCGACAGATCCAACATTTTATTGTCGACAAAGTTGTACATATATGTATACAGGTAATCGAGTTATTCCATCATGTAGTAATAAAATTGCTGCTTATCAATATGTTGAATATCAATGTATACCATTAAAAACTGAACTTGTTTCACCAAATACAACATGTCCAGCTGATGGTTCAAAAGTTCCAATACAAATTGATCGTCGAGGTCGTTTTCAAAGTTATAGATATGGTAGTTTTGTTATGGTAAAAATGAATTGCACATATCGATTAAAAACAAAACCTGGTGATATTATGCATATTTATTCACTTGATGTTAGTTTAAGTGATTATTCATCGGACTGTACAGAAAATAAACTATCATTTGTTGAAGATGGTGAAACTCAAGGTTCAGATTTTTGTGAAGAACGATCATTTAGATTACTTTATTCAACTTGTTCAAATGAAATTGATATGCGTTATATTGTTACAGATGATAGTATGTATTTCTCAGATGGTGCTGAATTATATATTGAAAGTCAAGCACGTCCATCAGATTGGTCTTGTGGTAAACCTTTACCAACAACACCTATTCCACCAACTCAACCAACAATACCAATTGTAACACAAACAGCAGTACCTTTAACAAATGAAACATCTATGTTTGCACGTGATGAACTTGAAACTGATATTTGCTTTAAAGGTACATCAAGTTATACATGTCCACTTGGTTATACATTTATTATGATTGATGCTTTCTATGGTGTTAAAAAACAATCATCAAATAAATGTGGATTTGTTCAAGGAGACTGTGTACATGATGCATTACCATCTTTAACAATATGTCGAAATGATGCAGCAGGTTGTTTTATGTCATACCCAACACAACGTCGTCTTGCTCAATGTTCAGATAATTATGCTGATTATCTACATATAACACATCAATGTGTACCAAGTCGACCAGTTGGAACTCCACCACCTATAACCATGTATGATATTTGTGATACAAATGCTCCTATTGCAAATGTTAACGGAGTTGTTACTAGTCCAAATTTTCCAACTTATAAACAAACAAATACTGAATGTAAAAGATCACTCGTAGGTATGACAGATAGAGTTTTAAAAATTTGGATGAATGAAATGGCTGTATCAAGCGATGGTGTACGTAGTTTAGCTGGTAAGATATTTATTTTACTTCTTTTCAAAAATTCATATTTTTATTTCTTTTTTTTTTAGAAGAATCAGATGAACCTGATTTGGTTATCTATAAAAATTATGATACAAAAAATTTAAATGATTTCGAAAAATTAAATCCATCAATTCGTGATGTTTGTATAAAAGATTATTTAATAATAAATGCTCCACATGTAGCTTATGTTTATTGTGGTACTCGTAAATTTGCTATGGCACCTATTTGTGCAGCAAATATAGATATTCAATATAAAACAACATCAGCAGCAAATTTTCTTTATAAAGGTTTTAAATTATATTTTGAATGGGTTCCTAAACCAATGGATATAATTTGTGATAATAATCCATTACCACCAACAACAACACCTATTGATGAAATAATACCAGGTTGGGCACAAAATTTACAACTTTCTCCAATACTTTCTGCCCAAATATGTCTTGGAACAGCACATACATTACGATGTCCTCGTGGATCTGATTATGTTCTTTCTATAATTTCATCAAGTTATGGTGTAACAGGTACAGGTCTATGTGAAATTCCAGCATCAAATCATTGTCATCAAGAAGCATCACTTGGTTTAACATGTACACATTCATGTTTTATTGAATATATTATTCCAAGACCACTTACACAATGTAATGCACAAAATGCTGATTATATTAGTATAGATTATGAATGTATTCCTACACGTTTACCAAATTCTGAAAATCCAATTGATATATGTGCATCAACAACAACAGATACAATTGCAATGAATTCAGGTATAATGATTAGTCCACAATATCCAATATTAGGTGCTGCACGTACTTGTTCAAAAAAAATTGAAACATTACCAAATAAATTATGGATGGTTTTTATTGTTGATTTATTTTTGGAAGGAGGAAGTACTAATGCTGGTACTTGTGATGCAGCATCATTAAATATTTATGATGGAAATGATAGAATTATTCTTTGTGGTTTACAACAACCTGAATTAGTTTTAGTTAGTTGTTCAAATATAGTTGAATTTAAATTTGTTTCAACTCATCAAGCACTTGGTTATCGTGGTTTTAAAATATTTTTTCAAACAATTGATGTACCTAGTAATTGGGCATGTAAACCAAGTGGTTTTACAACTCCAGCAATAACAACAACAACAACTCGACCACCAACAACATCAGGTGCATTACCACCTAGTTTTCAAAGTAAATTATAGTTTTTAAAAATAAAAAAAAACAGTTTTTTTCTTCTAGTTGTTGCTTATGGCGGAACAACAAATAATACACGTCAATATTGTAAATTTCCATTTACATATCAAGGCAATTCACAAGCAAATTGTCTTAGAACAGATCCACCAAGTTCACCATCAGGTCAAACACTTAAAGAACCATGGTGTTCATTAACAAGTAATTTTGATACGGATCGTCAATGGGGATATTGTGAATTAGGTGTTACTGATTCAACATTTTATGATATATGTCGTAGTCAATCGCAATCACTTCGATGTCCACCTGGTTATGTTATTGATATAATAACTGCTGATTATGCAGCTAAACCTGATGGAAATATCGGTACAGGTGCATGTATGTATGATAAAAATGATTGTTTTCAAAGTGATACATTAACAGTTCAAACAACATGTGCTGGTAAACCATCATGTACAGTATATCATTTTATTAGAACGTTAACAGCATGTCAAAGTCGATCAGCAGCTTATCTTCATGTTCATTATGAATGTATACCTAGTGATATTCCAGAAATAACTACATATGATATATGTAATAATAATACATTACCACAAGCTGATACTCGTCGTGGATTTATTGTATCACCAAATTTTCCAAATACACAAGCTAATCTTGATTGTACATTTAATTTACATACATTAAAACCACATCAAGATATACATGTTTATATAGTTGATATGGATTTAACTCCTATACCTTTACTTGGACAATCATGTACAAAAGATCGATTAATTATTGATGCTGATAATAATATTATGGAAATGTGTGGTAGATCATATACAAATTTTTTAATTAATACATGTCATGCATCTGTATCATTTCAATTAATTCGAGCATCTGATGCTAAAGGACGTGGTGTTAAATTTTATTTTGAATTTCGTGAACGACCTCCAACTGACGTTTGTCCTGTATTATATACAACTACTGTACGTCCATCAACAGCACCTACACCACCAAGACCAACAACACAACCAACACGTCCAGTAGAATTTCCTCATCCACCACCTCGTGATATCAAAACTTTATGTTATCCAGATCTTTCATCTTTATTTGGTACAAATAATTTTCAATGTCCAGCAGATTATATAATTGTTATTCAACGAGCATTCTACGGAAAAGGTACTCGTTGTACTTATACTCCAGGTGATTGTACAACTGAAGCTGATATTGTTTATCGAACATGTTCAGGAAAACAAGCATGTTCAGTATCATTTATAAATACTGTTCCTATACCAGAATGTAATAATGGTATAGCAAGTTATCTTTTTGTTGAATATCAATGTTTACCAACACCAACCATTGTTGCATCTAGTACAGATTTATGTACAGCTCAAATAGATATAATTAGTGGACCAAGTGGTATGTTAAAAAGTCCATCATATCCAACCTATGCACAATCACAATGTGCTAATGTAACATTAAATTCAAGTGATTCTAATATGGTTATGTATATGTATTTACTTGATCTTAATATTGATCCAATTGATCCAACTACTGGTAGATGTACAAAGGATTATTTATCATTGTCTTATCAATGTAATAATCTATTATATACTATGGAGTTATGTGGTACACGTCCTACAGAACTTTTATTTAGTACATGTTCACCAACTGATAAAATCTTTGCTTCATACAATTTAGTAAGTCAAGATTTTCAATCTCAACGTGGTTTTGCATTACTTTATCATCTTGTACCACAATCAGCTATACCTACACTTCCTTCAACACCAAGACCAACAACCCCAATGATAACAACAACTACATTGATACCTGGACCTGGTCCACTTAGTACATCAAATCAAGTTTCCACAACATGTGTTGCAAAATCTTTAACAATACGATGTGAACAACCTCAATATGGTCTAGTTATACATAAAGTAGAACTTGCTGCAGGTACACCAGGTACTTGTACTTATTCAAGTCAAGATTGTTTTGAAGATCGTACTAATTCATATAATCCTTGTGGTGGTTTACCCACATGTAGTATGTATGCACCTACTGGTCCAATGAAATCATGTAATAATTCACAATCAACTTATTTATATGCTGAATACCAATGTATACCAACTCGACCAAAACTTAATCTTGATGTTTGTGCATCAGCAAATACACAACAAAAAGTTGATGGTGGTGCAATTATTTCGTCAATAAATTATACATCAGCATCTCAACAATGTGTAATACAATTACAATCAAATACATTACTAGGCAGTCAACATCGTAAAGGATTTAGAGTCTATATTCTTTCATTAAATTTACCAATGCAAAGTACATTACGTGAACAAGGTGCACAATGTAGTGAGAATGGTCCACATATTGAATTAAATGATTATCATGGAACTTCAACACGTTTATGTGGTAATGGTCATGCACGTTATCTATTTGAAACATGTGCAGAAACAATTGATATTCGATATAATAATGTTCAAATGAATACAGGTACAACAAAATATAAAGGTTTTCAACTTTATTTTGAATCAATTCTAAATGATAAATGTCCAACATTCCCACCAATTCCAGCAACAACTCCAACTCCAACACCACCATTAGCTATTACAAATGGTATTGCTTGTGGATTAACAGGTGGACGTGAACGTGCTGATTTTAGTTGTACAGCTGATCATGGTCTCGTCTTTTTACAATCCTACCAATTTATTACTAAACAACCTGATAGATGTGATGTAAGTGAACATACATGTTATTATCCAAGTGAACAACCAGCATCACAATGTTCAGGTCAACAAGCATGTTCATATATTCATGTAATGCCATCTATGCCAACACAAACTGTTTGTGCAAATCGACCAGGTGATTCAGTTGAATTTTATTATCAATGTTTACCAATGAGACCATCATCATCATATCATACATATACACTATGTCAAGATCAACAAACTTCACAATCTATGGGATTTATTCAAACAGCTGGCTATCCAAATACATATGCAAATGGAGTACAACAGTGTTCATTACGTATTCCATTACCAAATGATGGTCGAACATATTCAGTTTATCTTTATGTACTTGATCTATCTTTACGTGATTATTCAGTAATAGATCTAACGACTTCAGACAAATGTTTTGATTCAATAAAATACACCGATGGAGGTCAAACATATGAATTATGTGGAAGAATTGATCAACCTGCATTTATATATAATTCAAATGAAAAAGCACTTAATTTAACACTAAATATATCAACAGCAGCACAACCAAGTGTATGGAATGATTGGCAAGGTGCAAGATTATTTTATATTATTGGAAATCAAGCTTTACCACGTCCACCAACATCTGTAACAACAACATCAGCAGGACCAGAAATAACAACAAGTACAAGAGATCCTACTATAACTGATCCAACTCCAGACAAAAAACCAAGTCATGGAGGTACTATTGCCGGTGTTATTATTGGTGTTCTAGCAGTCATAGCTGCTGTAATTGGTTTTCTATACTATCGTCGTCGTATAGCAACAGGAAGAGGTAATGCACCTACTGTTTCATATGGTGCTGATCAAATTACTATGGAAAATCCTTTGGCAACTGCAAAAAAACCGACAGGTGGAAGTATTCCATCAAAATCATTCGGACCATCAACAATTACTAGTCCGTTTTATCAAAAACCAGCAGCTACTGAAAAAGGAGAAAATGATGATGCAGCGGATGCTTGACACTAAATTTTAATTACTATTTTTTTTGTGCGGTCTTTTTTCTTCTTCTAATGTTAAACTTATAAGTAATTGAAATAAAAAAACCCGAAATATATACTATTATTGTTTTGCTTATAGATATTGATTAAAAGGGACTTATTGTTTTGTATGATTAGAAACAAATAACAATCAAAAATGTTAATTTATCATTATAGAAAAACAAATTTTGTGTCACATCCCTTGGCTATTTTACTTTCTTTACTATTAGATAGATCAGTATATGTAAATAAATTACTTTATTTAATTGATATAAGATAAATTTTAGTCAAATGACTTTAAAAAAAAGATTTATTTAAAAAGATTTTATAATTATAATAATAACAGAAAAAACAAATTACTCTGTAACACATGATAGAACATACAAAAGATTTTCATTAGTTTTATTGCATGCATATAATTTTGAAATGTTTTCCTATACATACCCTTAGATGATATTGAAAAGAAAACTTTTTTTTTTATGAACTATGCCAAATCAATACAGGTTTTGACGACAACGAACAAATCGTTATTCCATGTCCGAATTATCAACAAAACCTGCACTTATAGCCTACTATATTATAGAATTTCTTTTATTTATTCATTTCATCAACAGAATGACGTCAGGTTGAATGAAGAGAAATATTGTGTTCAGTTGTCATTTGATGAGTACTTACACCCGCTATTCAGCTGTTGAAAGTTTTTTCAAGAATATTCTTCATGTAGTTGATGATTGTAGGAAGTTATTACATTTCTTATTTAAATACAAAATTTTTATATATTATATATTACATCACAAAAGAATTGTAAAAAAGAAGAAAAAGAAGAAAAGAAATTCTATTTTGTCTTTTTATAGTCATTTATTTATTTGTTTATTTGTATGTATCTTCAATAACAGATCAAAGAAACAATGTGATTTTATTCAATAAAAATTAACACTTACTTACTTTTATCTTATCATCGACTATTCATAGCTGTAAAAATCAATAAAACTATTGTGTATGTCGATATATAACATGTCTAGTAGCTAGTACAAATCTAATTTCTCTAGGGTTATTTGTCTGTATTCGTGCATAGGTGTTATGTTTGTGTGTGTGTGTGTGTGTGCAACTATAAAAGGACCGCTTACAGTAATAACTAGGTAAGGTGGAAGGTAGTCTAATAGACGAGTATAAGAGTAGGTCTCTAGGGAATCGTCGTTTGTCGTTGTCGCTCGTCTTAAACATAAAAATGAGTTTCCGTTTCTTCTTCTTCTTCTTCTACTTCTACTTCTACATTTCTCTTCTTTTCTCTCGTCGTCTTACATACTCAATTCTTCACGCATTCTTACTAAAGTTTTAACACTTTAAGATAGTAATAACACAAAAAAAAAATATAAGAAAAAGAAAGTTTCTGCATGATAGACTTGCCCTTTTTTTCTTCTTGTCGGTAATTGTAGCAATGCTTGAATGGCATAAACGTTTTTCTTTTTTTGTGACCATTGCTTTTAGCAAATTCACTCTTTATATATAGTTGAGCGGTTATAACTTTGAATAAACTTTAATTTCTTTTTTCTAAATTGAACAAACCTAATCAAATCAGCATACATTTATTTTATTGTCTTTACTTTAACTATTAGGATAATATTCGATATATTGACATTTGACAAACAGATAAGATCTATATAAATGTATGTATATGTACTGGTATAATGAAATTGTATTACCTTAGTTTTTGATTCAATATATATATAGAGCGATAGATAAATGTATTTGCTATTCAAAAAAAGAAAAAAAAAAGAAATTTTCGTTAGGCAATATTTGCAAGAAAAATAAAGTTTAATCAAGAAGAAGAAGAAAAGAACGAACATCTCATTTCGTTCTTTTTTTTCTTCATTCTGTCTTGATAAGAATTGTTTGATAGTCGTGTTATTTATTCTTAACACGAATGTTCTTATATGCTCTTTTATTTACTGTTCGATATTGCTAAATAAATAGATTAAAATTATACTTAAAATCGATTCATTTGATGTCATTAGAGAAAATCATCGCATAATTTGTATATACGTATATCAATATGTTAATGATAAATGGTAAAATACTTGGAAAGATTGTGAATTTTCATTTCATATATTAAAGAATAAATAATGAACTATGTAAATCATGACTTACAATCAAATTAATTAAATATAGTTTTTTCTTTACCGAAGGGCATCGTCAACGATAATGATGATTGTTTCGCTATTCTTTTTCTCAATTCAATATTAATCATAAAGAGACGAAAGCATTAGCTAAATGATTAGTTAGAAAGTACCTTGATTTTGGTGTTGGATTTATAAATGGATTCTTTCAAGTGTCTAATCGCTTACGATTGTAGAACTATGTAATTTATCTATGCTCGAATAATTTACGAGTATAGCTTGTGAAACGTTTCACTAAAATGATCTAACACTCTCTAAATATACGAAATCCATCGATCTCAATTGCTCTTCTTCTTTTTATAGGCACAAACATGATATCGTAGACTGTTGTATATATCTGTACTTGTTAAAATTTTTATATTAGACGAAAGAATAGGTCTGTAACAGGTTTTCTTTCAAACCAGTTCTAACATGTAAATATTGTGACATGGTCTATCATCATTATCGAGATATAGGAAAAATGAATAGCTAAGAAAGCAATGATAAATAATCGAAAGTTTCTTTGATACTCTCATACACTTTTGAATAATTAAGTCAAGAATATTTATATAGAATTTCAAATACTTGACTTAAACATTCTTTCTAAAGATAAGATTGTAATCAGTTAGTTTTTAATCTTCTTATATATACACAGAATATTCCATATATAATTATTCATCGATTTATAGTCATATTAATTCAATGAGTTAATTTATATTACTAGATAATAATAAATGTTTATTTATTTTCTATTAAAACGTTTTCTTACAACAATTTTTTCTCATGAACGACAAACAACGGTAAACGATTTAAAATTACGATAAAATATACAAAAACAATAATTATATATTACAGTAATAAGTCTAGATTTATTTCTTTTTCTTTTTATTATTTGTTGGTGGTGGTGAATGAGCTGGTCGTTTATTTGGTATAGTTGAAGGTCGTGGTTTCGATGATGGCATAGCTGAAGGCCGTGTTTTCGATGGTGGTATACCTGAAGGTCGTGTTTTCGATGGTGATATAGATGAAGGTCGCGATTTCGATGGTATATTACTACTACTACTTCCAACTTTTTTCTTATTTCGTCCGCCATTATCTGAATCATATTCTAATTTTTCTGCATCAGCTAAAAATAGATATAACAAAATTAAAATAACGAAAATAAAAAGATTATACAATCTTAAATACCTTGTCTTGCTTCTTCTTCAAGTTCACTCCAACTTTTACCTGATTCTTCATCAGATTCTAAATTTTCAGATGCATCTAAAATTTAGGTTGAAAAAAGTCAATTTTTATAAAAAAAAAAAATAATTTTCAAACCTGAATCACTTTCTTCATCTTTAAATTCATCTTCTTCTTCTTCTTCACCAGAATAATCACTTTCTGATCCTTCTTCATCACCATCTTCTTCTTCTTCTGGATTATAATCTTCTTCTTCAATATCAGAATCATCAGCAGCTCCTCCGTGTCCTTGATTTTCATCACCTTCAGTTTCTAAAAATGTCCAGCCACCACCCCCAAAAAATCCACCAATATCATCAGCAATTGTTTTCATAATTTTTGCCCAGTTCAATGATTGTGGACCTTCCGTATAACAAATATCGCATGAACTTTAAGAAAAACATATAGAATTTATTTTTTAAATGAAAACTAAGACAATTTGATTTCTCTTTTTACTTTAACCAATTCTTAATTGGATCAAGTTCAGCCATTGGTATTGATTGTATACTTAATGTTTTTTTCGAATAATCTTTCATAATAAAAACCATATCGAAATTTTTTAATTGAAAATGAACACGTTCAAAATGAACAAGTTCAACTTCATCAAGTACAACAACAAATGGAGGCTTAAGAAAAAAAAGTGAAATTTTCAAATTATTAAAAAAATAATTTTACCCATTCAGTTAATTGTACAACACATGTTGTTGTAGGCATGATTAAAACCATTGATCGGTGTGGTGTACCATGAAAACCCAATCCACGAAATGGTTTTTCAAATTCAAATGGAAAATTTTTTTGTTGTATTACTTTATCAATAAAACCTTGAAATGCTGATTTTAACTTATTACGTAAATCACGTTCTGCCTAGAAGATTAAAATTTATAAATACATTAAGAAAGAAAAAACAAACGAATATAAAATACATACTTGTTCAGCTAGAACATCATCTTTATCATGCATATTTCGATGTTTACCAAGATCAGTTGTTAATTCACCAACTTCAGTATAAAATTGTACATCAATTTGTTTTCGTTTACCAAAAACAATTGCATGTTTTAAATGAAAATGCATTAATATAATCATTTCGTTATCACATGGTTGAAAAAATGCATATTGAACATTAGAGTATAATATATCAATTTTATCTCCACGGACTGATGTATAACGAAAACCATTTGTATGTGCTTCTAATGATCCATTGATTTTTTTATTTGCTAAACTTGGACGAATATAAAGATCCTTTAATTTTGGATTGACTTTGCTTGGATTAAGTGTTAATGCAGCTTGTTTAACAACACCCTTGAAGAAAAAACGATAGATAAATTATTTGTGTAAGAAACAAATTTCTAGTTTAAACAAACCTCCATTTGTTTTCTTTCTTGTTCTTGATCTTTATATTTCTTTTGTGTTTCAAGAATTAATTTATGAACATGAGAAAGATTATTTGATGCTGGTGCTACATCATCTTTTTTCTCATTCGATGCACGATATGTTCTAAAATTAATTTTCAAATAAATGATAAACTTTGGCATTTTTTTCTTACAATTCTTTAATATAGACATTTTCTTTATCGATTGAATCAGCTTGTTTACCAATACCGCCAGGATTAAAAAAATTTATACGTAGATAAATATATTCACCTTCGACAGCTAATGATACATTCTAAATTAAAGTTAAAAATATATCATCAATTATAGTTGTTGAAAGTTACTGTAAATTAATATCCTATAAACAAACTTATATAATATGATTAACGACATATTTTATGATCTCTCAAGTATAGAATCACATCTATTTATTGTTGTGAGGGTTCGAATATTACTCATACAAGGTTTAACAATGGCTGAGTATGTTAATTATTAATAAGGTATCAGAGGTTATTTATCTTATGACTATTTTTTGCAGAATTACACATAAGTTTTCATTTCTCTATGTCTATAACTACTAGATTTTTTTCAAATATCGATAAGCAACTTTTATTTAATCAAGCGAGTTGGTCATCACTTTCTCCGTGACTTCTGTTTTGGTTGTTTTTATAATTGTGATTAGTATGAGAATATCTAACCACTGCACACGGTCATGACTATTTTTTAGTTTCAAAAAGAAAATAAATATTTTTAAAGTGGATAGATTTCTAGTTAGAACATCAAAGGGTGTATGTGAAATAATCGAATAACAATCTAAGCTTTAATACAAATAGCTAATTGAAAAATAAATAATTAATCGAATTGATAAGAATATAAAATACAATTTTGGTCTTACTTTAATCGTTGAAATATGAAATGGTGTAGATATACCATTAATTGGTAAAATAACTGTTTCATATCTTTTATCTAAATATAGATATAATTTATTAATATGAAATTATTTATTTCGATTTATTTTTTTTGCTTACCAACATAAAGTTTTAAATCTTGAATATCAGGATCTTGTGGTAATTGCCCTTCGGATCTATATGAATTATTTATTCTTCGAGCTCTAAATTAAATATGAAATAAAATATTCATTTTTTTTTATTTCTATAGAGATTTACTTTTCAGATGAGACTTTATCATCTTGTGATGTTAATCGAGCTTCAGCACGTTCATTTAATCTACGTAATAATGCTTTTTGATATTCTTGACGTGATTCTTCAGGTGCATCACTCTAAATTTGATTAATAGTTTTAAAAACAAGATACAAAAATAAAAAAGGCAATATTTACTCGTTTGGTTTCTGTAGTGGCTGCTCGTCTTGGAGTTATAGCAGGTGTTTTTTCGACTTCTTCTGGTTCAGATCCATCATCATTTAGAATAATTGCAATATGACTTATATCTTTTTTTGATGATGTAAGTATTGTACAAGGTTCATTCTAGAAAAAATATTGTCTTTTTTTCATGAAATCATTTACAAGTTTTTCACTTACTTCATTAACAAGTACGGTATCGCCAATAAATAAAGCATACGTTTTCGATTGATCATCTTTTCCATCAAGATTATCTAAGCCAGACAAACCAATACTAACTTGAAAAGTCATGCCTAGAAAAACAAATTATTTATAAAAATTTCTTCGAGAAATTTAATTTTACCTTTTTTTGCTTGAATTGTACATTTACTAGTAATAGCAATAGTATTTTCACGAAATTCAATACCTACTACGGATCTACAGATAAAAATATAATCTTAGTTTTTTCTTTTCAAACAAACAAAAAAAAGTATTATATCAAACCCTAAAGTAGTTGTTAATTTATTCGCAAATTCTGGTCGTTCATTTTGAACTTTGTCTCGTACTAATTTATACACATCACATAATTGTACATCTTAAAAACAAAATATTTTAATATTCATTTTGTAAAAAAGATTAATAATGTATTACTATGTTTAAGATTTTGTATAATTAATTCTTCACAATCCATTAAAAATTTATATGTATTTTTCATTTCATCAGATGGATTAACAAGTAATGTACGAACAAGATTTGAACAATACGATCGATATCGAGTACCAAATGCACAAATTATCGATGAACCACCATAATGTAAAAGATTTTTATCACTTAAATAAAATAGAATAGAAAATTTTAATTCATCAATAATTAAATAATATAGATTTAATTTTACTTTGAAGCACTAAATTTTAAATTATAATTTCCTCCACTTTGTATAATCGCTGGATAACACATTTCGACATGATTAAAATCAGCTTTAGCCACAAATTTTTCATCGCTTAACGCAGCTTCAACGCCATCCGATAGTTTTGAATGTTTTATTTTCTGATAAAAAATAAATGAACTTTCATATTTATATATTTTTGTTTTCATACTCTTTCTAAACCAACAGCATTAACAATTTGATCTTTTAAATATTTAGCATAAAGTTTTCCAGTAATATCGCATGCTTTACGAATTAAAGGAAGTTCTTTATCATCTTTAATAGAAAGTAGATAAGCAATTGAAGTACTTATATCTACCTAAAATGAATAGAAAATTGATATGTTTTTTTTTAAATAAACAAAAATAAATATTTTTACAGTTGAAAATGATTGTTCATTTAAATAATTTTGCCATTGTTCACCAAATGCTCCTTCTGCTTTATCTTTTAAAAAGACGCCTAATGTTTGACCATCATTACTTTGTTTTATTTGTTTAATAATATCCGAAAAATTTTTTTCATCATTATCTTTACGTATTAAAAAACTAAAATTTCTCGGTGAATTTTCCTTATTATTTTGTTCGCTTTCAATCTAAATAAAATAAAAAAAATTATCAAAATATTATCTATTTAAAAATAGAATTTACTTGTTTAAGATAATTAATTGTTTTCGCGCTTGCAAATATAATTACCGAATCTTGACAAAATACAACGAGAATATCATATATTTCGTCACCAAATAACCAAGTCTATAAATAAATAGAACAGTAAATAATGTATATGAATGTAAATAATGATTAACCAACCTGCATAGCAGCAGTTTTACTATAAATCGAATTATCTTCTTTTTGTCCTCGTACAAGAATAATTGCATCAACAGATCGTATTGCATTATTATCATTCGTTAATACAATAGTGTCATCGTCTTGTTCGGTATTCTAAAAATAAAAATAAATCTTAATATTTTGTTTACTTGATATATAAGTATACTTACATGCCATAGTTTATAAAGTTTCCGAATACGTCGAAGACAACGAGCACCATCAATGACAGTATCGGAAGGCATCTAGAGAAAAACAAGTTTTGATAATACAAATATGAAAACAACGTATGATTGTTCTGCCTTCTATCACTACTCAAGGTAACGAAATGAGTAGGGTAGAGTAGAGTAGAGATGAACATAAGTAATAGCAATAACTTGACAGAACATTTTTCTATTGGTGACGTAATAACGTTTAGTAAATGATCGGTTCAAAAATTTAAAAAAAATAGAATATAATCTATTTATTAATATTACATTTTTGTATGAAATAAATAAAAAGGAATTGAGTTAATGTGATATAAAGTTGTAATTGTTCGTTATCGTGCGACATCTATTCTGATCAGCACAAGAACAGAAGCAGATGAAAATCGGTAATCCTTTAGCTGGTGTTCTATACTGTCCAAAGACAATGTAAAATAGCGTGTGTGAAAGCGAAAGTGAAGCACTTGTTGAGATGATTACTGATCAATATAAACTATTATTATTTTGAGATACTCATTCGAGCTGAGAAAAATATATTGCAATATTGAATTTTAGTTTTAATATTATCACTGAAATGTTGATGTTTATCCTATCATATATTCAAAGAAAGGGAATAAGATAAACAGGAGAGGAAAGGAAAGTGAATCAGAAGTGGCTGACCGATTGACTGGCTGACTTACAATACGTTAGCATAGGTATTTATGGATGCATACGAAGAGAAAGAAAAAGATAAATAATGGGCAAAATTAGAATCCGTCACATATCCCACCACCATGCTGAGAGTGTTCCTGCACGAAAAATATGGTAGCACATACAAAAAGAAACAACAAAAATGCGTGGCTAATATATATAAATAAAAGTTAAATATAATGTTAATGATAAATATACTATATTAAAGATGAGTACCGCATCATTGTTTAAAGTTGAGGAGGATACAGTCGGCTCTTAGTACGTTCACTGATATTCTGTAGCATTATCATGCAACAAGTACCGCCCATTTCAACACTATAGTTGTTTGATAATGCCATGTCACTCAATTCTTTACATGAATTTGAAGTTTTACTCTCTACTATTTTTTAATGTATCCTAAGGATTGCCGACCGTGTGTTTGACTTGACATGGTATAAAGGAAGAACAAAGTACAGAATGCAGGAGAAATACGGAACGATGCAACGAAGTACCCACAGATGCTATAAGGTAAATGCATCGGGACCATACATCGTCGGCCGAAACCTAGCTGATCTTCAATCACACTGTTGTACCCTTCAACAGTGCCACTATATCCGAATTATCTCGCCCAACTCCGTCCCTCGAACTTAGCCATTACCTGTGTGTTACGCATAGAAAATAATTGTCCCATTGAAGAAGATTGAATTGGTTCATTAGAACAGGTTTGTAAGCAATCCAACAATCGATCCGTTCATAAACATAAGGCCAAATAGATGGAAAATATAGGAAAACGGTCACAAGGTCAAATACAGGGAAGAGATGAAAGAAAGGTCATAAGGTCAAATAAAGGAAAGGGATAGATGAAGATTATATGATTAAGTCGCAGAAGGGGTCAAAAAGAAAGTATTAGTACTAGAAGAATCCAAAGTAAACCCATTACAATAAAGCATAATTTATTAGGTAACTTTCAAGAACCACACGCTACGCGACAGTTTATCATAAGAAAACAAAGACAGCAATAAACAATGTAATAACCTACATGCTCGGGGACAACGAAGTTTGCGATTGCACACTTTTTCTCAAGATATATGTTAATGGCATATCGTTATCAGCAGATTGTATCAAGATTACTGACTATTCATATGACCATTATATTCTACAAATAGATGAGTGAGCCAAATAAACTAACAACCAAAATTCCAGTAAACTATGGCAGAATACCTCGTAAAAATCGTTCCAAGAGACAAAAACAATAAGGACCCGGAGTCTGTTAAGCGTCTTAAATGAAGGGACGCTGAGGATTTACAGGGTTCGGTTGATGTGATCGCCATGTATGACAGAAATGTTGATGTTCATTCTTTATTCTATTATATATTTAAACGAAGGGAACAAGATAAACAGGAGAGGAAAGGAAAGTGAACCGGAAGTGGCTGACCGATTGATTGGCTAACTTACAATACGTTAGCATAGGTATTTATAGATGCATGCGAAGAGAACAAAGAGATAAATAATGGACGGATCCGAATCGATCACAATACCCACACCCGCACCCACCCTCAAGATTTTCGAGTTTATATCTTTGTATGAAAAAGAACAAAAGCTTTGTTTTTAATACTTTTTCAGAAAAACTTATTTCCTTTTATTCAGTATTTAAAGAATTATGCAACAGGCAACAAACAAACAATCTTGAGAGTGTGGATATAAATGAATATGGAGAGTATGTTTATTCTTTCTCACTAAATATAGCCATATCCACATGTTGAAGATGTACAACTTATACAATCTAGCAAAAGGATTTATGAAAAGTTTATCTAGAACTTTTAATTATAATAATAAGCTTTTAAGTAAGGCTTATTAATCTACATTTATTTTTTTGCAATGCACACAAAACGATCTACATCAACAGGCATTACGGAAAACTATTAGTGGTTGATCAATTTGCCATAATGAAGAGTAGGTCTAAAATTTAAGAGCATCATCATTTAGATGGATGATGACATCTCAGTCGTAATGCATTATTATATTTAAATACAGTGTATATATCTTTATTAAATTAGTTTCTACCAAAGAAGATCGAAAAAATATCGCTAAGCTATTTAATTAAGCTATACGAAATAATGCTATTGCTGTTTGGATGTTAAGATCAACAACAGTCAGGCTTGTAACCAATGAAACAGCAAAATATATAAAGTAAAACTAAATATTTGTCTTTCATTTAACTGTGTCTTTTTGAAAAATTTTGCCGACAGAAATTTATTTTTCAGCCATGTTTGTTTACACAGACCTTCAATTTTATGTTGATCTTGAAGGGAAAGAAAGATTTGAAGTATTGCTGGATTTTTTCTACTCAGCACGCACAAGAGCATAGAAAAAAACAAAAAATAAATGGACAGTTTTCTTATGCTGCCAATAACTACAGTTGATCGCATTTCAGCTTCTCATTTTTTTGTTAACATGATCTCCAAGGTGTTGGATGCGAATCGTACGTATTTCATATAATTAAGCATGCCCCAGTCCTATAAAGTCGATAAAAAAGATGAAAAATTTTTGCTATATAAAACACCCAGCCTTTACCAATCCTCTAAGTCATTTAAACTCACTATCGATCAGACTATACAACCCTATTGTTAAACTTTGAAGAATTAATCGGGAAGAAAAAAGGAATAGGGGTGACTGGTAAAAAAAAACCGAAAGTTCTTTATAGGACTGGTGCATACCTACATATAATATGATATTTATTTTTATTTTTATTTTTCCCGTAATTGTTCAAAATGTTTTGTAAATCTTGTAAGATAAAATTATATAAACCGTAAAAGATCGTGTGCTATCATATTTAGATGTAATCAGTACTTCACTTAACAGTGTATATCTCATATATTAACTATTGCAAACTAGAAAAAAATAATACAAAAATCTTAACATGCAGTGTAAGAGAAAGATTTATATTTGACACTAATAGTTTGCTTACAATCAATGATTATTATGCCGTCAAATAGTTTTAGATCTTAATTAAATATTATAGATCTTTCAAATTTCTTTAAGGTACTTTCTAGGACAATACTACAACTACCCGCATTAACAGGAAAGCTTGAAAAAAACCATCGTAACGGTCAGTGTAAATGATCCTATCGAAATCCGTGCGCACATTCAAGCACACCCACACCCACCCTCACATTATTCTTCAGTGAATGGTTGTTAACATTGTATTTCTATTGCTTTTATCTATGAAATCTGCGATATACTATTCGTATTAGTTTTCGTTCTAGATAATGCTAACAACAAATCAATGGTTGATAATATCACTGATTACCAATGCAGTATTATTCTCAATTATTTGTAATATATATTCCAGAAGTGCTTTAAATTTTTCCATAAGTAATTCTATGAATCAAAGAAACAGAAGTGATTTAAATTTGTCGACAAATAATTCTATTAATCAAAGAAATACGACTACAAAGCCTTCTTATATTCTTCCTATGCACAGAGATTCTGAAGCAAATACATGTTATTCTTTGAAATCTTTAGTAATGCCTGAAGAAATAATTGATTTAAATAGTATAGTTTCTGGTCGTCAACCAATTAACTCGTCAGAAACACCGAAAGAAGTAACATTCGATCGAGTTCATTCAATATTATATGGAAATTCATCGACAAAATTAATCTATGATAATGCTCAAAAATATTTTACTAAAAAATTTGACCAAACATATCCGCACACTTCTCTTCAAAGAGATCTTTTTATTTCAATTATTCAAAAGGTTCACCCATCATTAAAAGTTCAATTTGTAGTTGAAATTGGATCATTTACAGGAAATTCCGCTTCAATTATGGGAAAAGTTTTAAAAGAATCATACCCAGGATCATTTCTTTTATGTATTGATACTTGGCTTGGAGATTTGGCTATGTGGATAAATAAAGCTGTTTGGGAACATTTATCAGTAAGTGAAGATGGTCGTCCAACTGTTTATTATCAATTTCTTACAAATATTATAAAACAAAATTTAACTACAATGGTTCTACCAGCATCGATGACATCAATAATTGGTGCACGTTTTCTTCAAACATATCGATTTTATCCACAAGTTATTTATCTTGATTCAGCACATGAACAAGGTGAGACATTAATCGAATTATCATTATATTGGAATTTGTTACGACCTGGTGGAATTCTTTTTGGTGATGATTGGGGGTGGAGTTCGGTTCGATGTGATTTAAAAAAATTTAGTTATATGAAAAATTTAACTATAGAACAGGCTGGCAATACCTGGATTCTTAAAAAGCCAGTAAATTAATTTCAATATATTTTATTTTACTGACATATGCAGTGCTGCCACCTCTTCTATTTTTTGGATTTTTTTGTCTTTTATATTTTCAATCAAGACTCTCAATATTTTAAACGATTATTTTGCCAAAATAATTATTTAACATAAAGTCAGATTGTAAGATCTGATCGACTCTGAATGTTATCACTTCGTCTTACTCCATCGCTGAACTTTTAAAAACTCTTATGTTTTTTATTTTCATTGCCTTGCAGTAATGCTTATATAAAATAGAATTTGTATTTTCACAAATAAAACATTTAGAAATTACAACAGAATTAGTATCAACTGAATTAAAAATACGTTTGAATGCTATTTTAAAATGTGCGAATAGGTACAAGTATATATTATCGAACCAGAATATATTGAAAGCTACTAGGTCAGATGAAAAATATACGTTTAAAAATAAATGTTTAGTAAATGTATTTATCTATGTTTAATTTTGTGCACTAGAACATAAAATGTGATGCTAAACTTTCTTATTATTTTATTAAGGCTGGACTTATACCATAGTTTGATATTAAAAAAAACTTTCTGCTTTTCATAGATCATTTTCTACTTTTCGAAGGACAAAAGGTGGCAGCAGTGAATATAACTTGCTAGAGTTGTTGGTCAATTTGTTTATATATAGAACGAAGTCAAAAATTTTGATCTAACTAATTTGATATTAGATATTTTTACAATTCTTTTGAAAATGTACTTATTTACGAAGAATTTTTTATAGTATGACGAAATAATCAAGTTAAAAAATTTGCTCAAATTGATGAATATAGTAGTAAGCGTAAAAGAAAAAGTATTGATCTAATTAAAGTAAAATATTTCAATCAATTTATCGTAGAGCTAATAATTTAGTTTTATGGTAGAAAATTTTTTGAAAAGTATTTACCCAAGTTCTGAACTCGTGAAAGCGAAAACTTATTAATGAACTATTAGAACAGTTCTGTTCACAAGAACTATCCGAATTTATATCCAAAACAGAACAATATTACGCAATACCCAGCAGTATTATTTCCAAGACAAAACAAAACTGTTCTGTTATGACAATATTACTTCCGAGTATTGCGTAATGTTGTTCTGTTTGGGAAATCATTTCGGATAGTTCCTACAAGAAAAACTATCCGACCATTACTTCCTACCGAGCAAAAAAAGGAGAGAAAAAAACATCAAAAACTGGGTAAATTTTTTTATGCTGCAAATAAATACACGTGGTTATCTTATAGTTTCTCATTTTATTGTGAATACCGATCGTAAGTATTTTACATAGTATGATATTTATTTTTTAATTGTTCAAAATGTTTTGTAAATCTTGTACGATAAAATTATATGAACCATTAAAGTTCATATGCTATCACGTTTAGATGTAATCAGTACTTCACTTAACAGCACATATATCATACATGAACTATTGCAAATTAGAAAAAATTATACGAACATCATTACAAGCACTATAAGAGAAAGATTTATATTTAAAAATGAAAATTTTCTTGCAACCAATGATTACTATGTAGTTAAATAGTGTTAAGATCTTAATTATAGACCTTTCAAAATCTTTTCAACATACTTCCAAGGATAATAATTCGACCACTTAAAAGGACAGGAAAATTTGGACAAACCATCGTGAAGGTCAAAGTACTTCATCGTATCTGAATCCATGCCCACACCCACCTTCAAGATTTCAAAATGTAATATTATTTCGTAGTTTTAGTTATTATGTTACATTCTCAGCTTATACCAAGAGTAAAGACATAAAGCAATAGTTGTTTTTTTAAATTATTATTGGTTTATTTTAAAATATAGAAAGAAACGAAGACACTTTTCAGCCATTCAGTATATACAGATCTGCTAGTTTGAGGTATAGATTTTATCACTAGATAGTTTTATTTGAATCTCTGATCCAAGTAAATAATATTAATATTTTCGCAATCTATGTTAGCGTACAAACAGTATACATATTCTATCTGTATAATATTTGTCTATGATTTCAACACATTATAGAATATATATATATATATGTATTAAAGAATTCAATCTTTATATCCAAAAGCAAGCCAAATAGCTTGATATAGTTTTTAATCAATAGAAATTTTACTAGGTAAGATATCTGATTGTGCACGAAAGCTAACGTTTACGATAAATGCGAGAACATACATGAACCCATACTAAGAACAGAAAAAAGAAATGTTTATATCAAGATAAAGAGAATGAATAGAATAATATGACCTGATCAAAAAGAAATGCACTAGAATATATCATATGATCGAAAATGAACTGAATGCACTATAAGATTTCATCATAAAAGAATAAAATATTAGAAACTAGTACCAGTTAATTTTTTTTCTATATATAAATCCTCGATTATTCAATCATATTGATAGACACACTTTTGATATGATTTCTATTTCGTCAGAAGTCCAATCTCTCTCCATTATTGAAATACACTTGTGATATACTTTTTCTATCAACACTGCTACCATCATATACATAATAATTACATCTTATAAATGTGCCATATACTTCATTTCTCAACAATTTTTAAGCTTTAATCATAATATTCTATGATACAACTAATAGGATACTTTTCACTCCTTCAACTCTAATCTCTGTTATTCCATTAGTTATATTTAGAATTTGTCTGCACGTGCAAATGTTTATTTTCTAATCATTTTTGTATATTTCTCTTTCTTGAAAATAATCTTATATTTACCATGGTTTCAAGAGAAAAGAATATTAATGTTTGATAGATTTTTGTGAAAATTAAATAATGAACGTCTACTAGCGACATATATTAATCATTTTAAAGTACAATAACAATAATTGTTCTTCTGTGATACAGCCTAAAATTCAAATTCTCTGTATCGAATTCTTTGTTTTTTTTCCTATTTTAATATCTATCTGATATATAGCGACATCAAATCCATCATTCAAACTAATATTTATTAGCCAATCTTAACATTTTCTAAATGAAAAAAAAACTACCTTGTTTATTTATGTCCTTACGAAATACTCGGAATAGTAGTAAGCTTATAATCTACGAATATTCATACAATTCATATTCTTTCAGATTTTGCACCTATTAGTCTCATATAATAATGGCCGATCAATGGCAAGATAATGCTATTTTGAATGCTCAAATACGAGATGATGATGATGATATTCCAGACGAATGGGATGTAGAACCTGAAGAAAAAGTTTGTTGATTATTTTGATTTCAATTTTAATCAAATAATTTTTATATTTTCTAGCCTAAAAAAGCTCCAGTAGAAGAAAAACCTAAACCAGCACCACCAACAACAAAAAATAAGTTAGCTAAGAAAAAATTTCTCGGTGATGGACGTAACAGTGATGATGAATTACTTGAATCTTTAAAAGAACCCGATCGACATTATACAACTGAAGAATTAGAAGAATTTAGTAGACGTGCTGAATTACGAAAAGAAGAATTAAAATTAAATATGGCATCAGATTTTGTTGGTACAAGTGGTGAACGTCATTCATTAGATAATCTTAATTTAGTAACAAAAGAAGAATTTCTTGATTATAGTTTTCGTTTATATAATCGTCTTGAACTTTTATCAAAATCAGAATTTTATCCAGATTTTCTTGATCATTTACTAAATGGTTTAACAAAATCTGTGTCACTTGATGGTGTTAAACGTATATCAACAACATTACAAGCAATATTAGTACGTAAACAAAATGATGAACGTGACAGAAAATCAAAAACTAAAGCTAAAAAACCGGTTAAACCACAATTGAAAGCTGATCGAAATCCTGAATATGACTCATTTGTTGGTGAAGGCATTACCACTGCTGCTGCCGACCCAGAATATGATGAAGACAATGATTTTATGTAAACGTTTAAAAGAATTTAGAGAAAAAAAAAGGTTTATGCGCGTTCCTAAAAAAATAGAAATAAAAAAAATAAATAAATAAAACGTGCATCTATATCCTTCGACTAATAAGCATTCTAATAATCAAGAATATGTATTTTTCAACAGATTTTATATTGTTAAATCTTTATGTATGACATTATTTTAATATATGCACGAAGGAAATAAAAAAAAACGAATGATGAAAAGAAAAGAATATTGTCGACAGTCTTAGTAATAAACGAAAATTACGTGATTTATTTCGAAACAGATGAATTTCGATAAGAACTGGAATAGTGTTAATATCATACAATGCAATTAATTCACGAAGGAATAAATGAACATCTATAATTTTATGAATCACTTTGAAACGTATATATACTGATAATTCAAATAAACTTTCATTAATATATGAATTCGAAGTGCATTATTTACGTAATTGTATATCCTATTATATAAAGTAGAAAAAAAAAATTTTTCTTGATATTTTTTCTAATGTTTGTTGATGTTTTTTTTTTCATTGAAGAATAACTATGAATAAAATTTTGATAGTCTAATATGTGAAGAACACTTTGTGTGCCTGTCTGTTCGTTTGCACCGTTATGACATGGAGCGTCATTATTGAGGCACAATGTCTAGAAAAGCAAAATGGCGATTACAACAACAGTGATTATTGATGAAATAGAGAGATATAATTTTCTTTATTCAATCATATTTTTCTCATTAGATATTGAAATGAATTATTTTAACTTTGTATATCTTGTGTGTGTTAGTATTACTTTCGAGAAAATATGTTTTCATATACATAATATGTAATATTCTAATCATTTGAATATACCTATACAAATTATTATTATCATTATCACCAACATCATTCATTGGATAGATGTATATATCAATGTATGTATGTGCTTGAATGATTTCTACGATATTGAATATTTTGTGTGTGTCACTCATAGATTGGTTTAACAGTTATCTTAACCCTTTTTTATTTCTATTTTCTTAATCTTAACTTCATGCGCATGAATTAGGTTTCTTGTTTTGTTAGATTTCAAACAATAACCTATTAGTTTTTCTTCAAATTTAACAATTGTATGTTTATTTTTTGTTGATATTTCATTTTCTATGTATATCTAGATATATACAAAAACTAGGCTTTTACTTTTCTTTCGAATATCCCAGGTCGACGGCAGATGTCGTCATTAAGTCCACAGAAAAAAAAACTGATGCGCAAAAAAGGACATATTAAACAAGAAGATTGTTATCTAAATGTCTTTTTTCTTCGTGAATTCAAAAGATATTTAGAATCAAATTGAACATTATATTTTGTTTCTTTTCTTTCTATTACAGATTAAATTAGTATTCATAATTAAAAAAAAATGTTCATTGGCTAAGAAACATTTAGATTCAAGATTGTCCTTGAACTTTCATACTTTAGAGATTTTTCTTTTTGTTTTGTTTCTTTCTCAAATGTTCGATCACCATCAATATTTTTATCAACATGAGTTTCACTTTACGTTCGACATCAAATACATTTGCTGAAAATGAACGTTTAACACGAAAACGTCAAACAGCATCATCATCAACAACAACAACAACAACATTGAATAGATTTTTATCATTTAACGAAAATAAATCGTCTTCTGTTGAAAATCGTCGTCGATTAATACAAGTAAAAAAATAAGAAATCTTTCGCGCCATTTAAATATTTTTCTCCATATTTTTCTAGTCAACACCAAATTTAATTGAATTACTTGAAGAAGACGAAGACCAAACAGAAGATTATCAAGCATTATGTCACGAATGTAATACATGTTCAAAGATATTTGCAAGTGAATACGGACTTAATCATCATATTAATATGTATCATCCAAATCAATCGATTTTATGTCCACTATGTAATATTACATTTCGTTCACATCGTTCACTTAAAACTCATCAACAACGACGTCATTCAACAATACAAACAAAATTAAAATCAAATCATTCATTATTACCTAATTATAGTTATATATCATCTTATCTTGTTATAGCTTTTTCATCGAAACAATTTCCTATAATGGCTAAATATGCTTGTGAACAACAACGTTTACCATTAGGTATTTTTTCATCACAATTATATCAATGTCAATACTGTTCAACATCATTTCCATGTTCACGTTCATTAAATTATCATTTATTAAATAAACATGAACAATATGAATATAAAATTTGTCAAGCTATTCTTTCTGATCTAAGTATAGAAGTTGAATGTACTTCAAGAACAGTAGATAATGATGATGATGATATTGAATCGATTAAATTAAATCTAGCTAAACAAGCATCACAATTTGGTCTTATTGATAAAAATTTATCAAAAAAACATCATATAATTAAAAAAGAACAAAATCATCTTATATATCCAAAATGTCAACATGAAAATCGTACATGTGCTAATTTATGTTTACAATATCTTTCATCTTATAGTAAACTTATTAAAAATTATCCATATACAATTACAACTATACCAAAAGGAAATCCATTTGCACAAGGTCCAATTGTATCAACAATATCTTCAATAAATAATATTTATTCAAATGGTTCATCATCAATGAATGATTCAAATACAACAAATGAGTTAGTTAATGGACGTCAAAAACGTAAAAGTATTAAACATATAGATGATTCCGTATCACCACAATCAAAAAAGAAAGTTTCTTCCAATGTAACAACAATAAATACTAAAACAACTCGAACAAGTTCAAATAATAAAGTCACTGTTATAAAACAGCAAACAGAACAAACAACGAAAGTATACTATCTTATTTTTATTCATTCTATTTCAGTTATTTAAATAATGTTTTAGACAAACGATACTAAACCTGTTTCCGTTGAACAATCTTCATTTGCTGTAGCTGTTACAACTACTTCAACTGTACAAAGAAAAATTTTACCAAAAGATAATTACAGTATGTAAAACTTATATAAATGATACTATTCAATATTATGGTAGACTTTTAATATAATTACTCTGATCATCTATCATAAGTTTATCTATTTCTGCTTTATTCATCAAATATTCAAATCAATAATGATAGCACATATTAAATGCACATATCTTGTTCATTTTACGCTATATACGCATGACAGTATGCTTCAGTTTTCTTTCACCAAAATCCTTCTTAAGAAACAATAAACAGTATTTTGCATCTTTTTTTTACTATAGGTATAGACATGTGAGAAAGTTTTGTAATCTATTCAATACAACTTATTAACAAAATTCAATATGTATGACTTCGTAATGATCAATGTAATACATAAAATGAGTTTTTATTTATCTACTAAGAAATAAAAGTTTATTAAAGCTATAACTAGAAATTAGGACTTTTCAATTTTGAATGGATTCATAAAATCTAGTAGAACAGATGACTTTAAAGAAAATCAGAGCAATTGTATTTAATTTAACTTGTTAAATTCTTTTATTTTAGTTCGTTCAACATCATTATCAAGTAATTCATCAACATCAACATCAACTCGATCATCAACAATAAAATCATCATCATCATCAACAAACTTAACTCAACAGACAATTATATCTTCACAACGTACATTAAAACGTAGTCTCTCACCAAAAACAGTTAAATCATTCGAACGATCTTCACGAAAACGTCGTCGTTCACGTGAACAAAAAGAAAAACTTACTTCGTCAGCATCAACTGCAGTTATAAGAATTGATGATGATGATGAAAATGATATTGAACAAGAAAATGATGATGATGATGAAGA